TTTAGCCCAGCAGGTCTTTTGTCATAATTAAATTCATTCACATGGCTGAGATTTAACTCTAACTCCAACCAAAATATTAATGGTAAATTACTTTAGGGGAAATAAGATAAAAAACACTGTGAGACAACATGACAAGGAGATTTACAATTAAGGTATCAAAAAGTTTTAAAGCAAGTCTTAAAGAGTTATCTGCTCAGAATCAGCTTACTACTTCTAACTTCTCCATTTCAACCATCTCACACTGAACTTCAGTTCTCATTTCTTTACTGCTGGAGTTTGCTCACTTAGTTATTTTAAATAACCATTCAGATTAAATTATTAGATTCTTACATACCCCCCCCCCACAATTAATGCATAACATTACAAGATTAAAGACTTCTCCAGTACTTTGAGATGATATGATAAATATTGGAGTATACCCTTAAGAACTTTATTGAACTATTTACATAAATTATTAAATGAATTTCCCAGCGAGTAAAGTGAAGATTAATTATGCCAGCCATGAAAGACTATTTAAGATAGTTAGGCAAAAGTCCAGGGCCTCTAAGAGAGGTGGAAAAGAAAATGCTGTGCAGAAAGTGAAGCTCTCTCTTTTATATTCTCAGTTTTGGCTGAGCAATGACCTACTCAAACATGTTCCAACTTCCTGATTTCTTGGGCCAAACGGAACAGCCAGGACCCTCCACCTGATTGCATTAACAGCTGGAAGTGTTTAGTAAGCATGCACTTTTTAATGAAAATGCCACAGATTACAAGGCAGGGACCATGTTCTCTTTCCTGCTGTATTCTGTGTATTTATTGCTGAATTAAATCAATACATGTGAGATTAAGTTTTGACATTTGAGTTATCTTTGAGAAATTAGCTTTTGTGCCTACGCATACACACACGATAGGCCACTGAGCAGAAAAAGGATAAGAAAACCTTAATAGATCCAGAAGCTATATTTTACTGTTAACAAAAAGAACCCTTTCCCAAAAATATAATACTTTATTGTTTTAAAAGGTGTAGAGAAGAAAACAGAACAGCCAGGGACCTCCGAATCCAAGGCAGCATATAATGGTAAACTCTACAGAGCCTCTTTGTTTTCCATGTATTCCAAACTAGCAATGAATCCCAGCAACCCACAAACACTCGTGAGCACAGACCAAAAGCGCACCACAAATGCCTGCTCTCTTCAGACAGAGGACAGAGAAAGGAGCAGCCTGCCAAGACAGGAAACCTTTAGACATGACTGCTTTACTCCAGGCAAAATCACAACCCAAAATACAGACACAAAACCCTGCCTCCAACCACACCAAGAAGTTGTTGATTGGGGAGTCTAGACCGCCCCCCCTCACTCACCCCCCCCCCCGCCCCCCGCCACTTACCAACCTGTAACGAGGCACCCCAACCTCCTCCTGTGGTGCTGCCAGAAAAGACCAAGTAGCAAGGGGGGATTTTCATCTTTCATTCCCACAGGGCAGTTACAACCCCTCCTCCCCCAACCCCGTGATGTCAGTGGAGACCATGGGGCAAATCTAGACATCTACTAATAATATGGCAGCAATAAGTCCCCTCACCACCACCTCCCACTTGAGTGGCATCAGCAGAGGCCAAGTAAAGAGTTAGAACTTGCACTGTTCCCTGCTGGTAATAGGACCACCCTCACCAAAGTTATTAGTAGAAACAACATGAGGAGCTGGGACTTCCATACCAGTCCAAAGTCTATGAGGAATCCTTTCCTGAGATGGCCAGAAGACATGCACAGATTCTTCACCAAAGAGGATATATAGATGGTAAATAAGTACATGAAAAGATGTTCGACATCACTAACCGTCGAGGATATGTAAATTAAAACAACAATGATGTAACACTATTTTTGTTTTTTAATTTAAGCCATTCTGGTAAGTGTGAAAAGATAAAGAACGAAGGCAGGCGCAGGAATGGAGAAACTACATCCTGCATATATTGCTGGTGGAAGTAATGGTATAGCCACTCTATAAAACAGTATGATAGCTTCTTACAAATCCAAACATACAACAACCATGTGACCAGTTATTTGCACTCTTAGGCACTTATGGGTGGTGGTGGTGGGGGGGGGGATTAAGTTCCCTTTCTATGTGCATGAATGTTCATAGTAGCTTTATCCATAATCCCCCAAACTAGAAACAACTCAGTTGTCATCCTTTGACAAGCAAATGGTTAAACAAATCTTGATATATCTATACCATCCTATCTAATAAAGAGAGAATATGCTAATTGACCATCACTCCATCACAAAGATGGCTGCACCCACAGCTGAGACCGAGTTCCCATAAGGAGCCTTAAAGAGCAGCAGGCACCTGAGGCTAGCCCTCGCTCTCACCCTCCCCCACCCCCTTGGGGCTTGACAGGGGAATCTCAGGCCCTGCCCCCCACCTGGCAGGGCTTGACAGGGAACCTCAGGCCACAGCCCCCACCCTGAAGGGCTTGACGGGACCTCAAGCTGTGCGCCCTCTTGGCATGCCCCCTTGCCCCTGGCGTCAGGCTGGGTACCTCAGACTGTACCCCCCACCCCAGTGCCAGGCCAGGGGACCTCAGGCCACAACCCCCATCCGGCAGGGCTTGACAGGGTACGTCGTCTGTGCTCCCTGCCCTAGCACCGAGCCAGGGGACCTGAAGCTGTGCCCCCATGCCTGGCTGGGCTTGACAGGGGACCTCCGGCTGTGCCCCCCACCCATCAGGGCTTGATGGGGGACCTCAAGGTGCACCCCCAGTGCTGAGTTGGAGAAACTCAGGCTGTGCCCCTGCCCACTGGGGCTTGACAAGGTACCTGAGGCTGCACCCACATCCCGGTGCTGGCTAAGGGGCCTGAGGTTTCAGTCCCCCACCTGGTGGGCCTTGATGGAGGACCTCAAGGCATGCCCCCTGCTCCAGTCTGGGCTGGGGGACCTTAGGCCACACACCCCATCCTGGCACCGGGCCAGGGGACCTTAGGCTACACCTCCTGCCCATTAGGGCTTGACAAGAATCTGGATCTAACCCAACGGGGTGGGGAGGGCCTGCTTGGGTCTAGGTTCCATAGTTTGCCCCAGACGCTGACAGAAGATTTTCATATACATTTTACTAATTTTCTTTCATCTCTGACATTTCTATTATAAAGGGCAAATAGCAATATTAAATTATTTCCTCTAATTAGTCCCCTTTTATTGTGCACGAATTTCATGCACTGGGTCACTAGTGATATATAATAAGGAACAAACTACTGATACATGCAACTACCTGGGTGAATCTCCAGAGAACTTCGCTTAGTGAAAAAAAGTCAGTCCGAAAAGGTTACCTACATATAATTCCATTTATAATATTCTTGAGGTGACAAAATTATAGAAATGAGGAACAGGTTAGTAGTTGTCAGAGGGGTTAAGGAAGGGATGAGAGTGGGAGGGAAGTGGGTATGACTATTAAAGGCAACAAGAGGGATGCTGGCTGGCGATGCAAATGCTCTATATCTGGTTGTGATATTATAGTTTCACAAAATGTTAGCACTGGTGAAAACTGGGTAAAGGGTGTGCAGTATCTTCTCTTTCTTAACTGTAAGTAAATTTACAATTATCTCAAAAAATTTAATTTTTAAAAAAGGAAAGCTGCTAAACAAAATCCAGTTCACCAAAATAGATTTCACAGTATAGGAAAGTTTATTGATGAACATTGAATCAGTTTTAATATTAGAACTAAGGAAAAAACTATAGGAATAATTGTTTTAGGACAGAACATAAATGTTAAACTGACATTAAAAAGGTCACATGTTTGAAAGTTGCCAAGAAAGTAAATCTTAAAAGTTGTCATCACATGAAAAATTTTGTAACTATGTATGATGGTGCATGTTAACTAGACTTATTGTGGTAATGATTTCACAGGGTATGCAAATATCCAAATCATGTTGTACACCTGAAAATAATATATTGCTATCTGTCAATTACACCTCAGTTTAAAAAAAAATGAAATGGAAAATAAGGGACAAAGAAAAAATAAGAGTGCTAATTTCTACAGCTTACATAGCAACAAATAACCAATACTGTATAAGTTTTTTAAGTTTTAAAGATTATTCCAGCCTCTTGGTGTTTTCCTTTAAATATACATACATATATATATATATATATATATATATATATATATATATATATATAAAGAAATCTTTCAGGAAACAAGATACTTGTGATAGAAAAGCTGATGAATATTTCAACAATTCTGATTCACTTTAATTTGTTTTGCTAAGATCAAATAAAATTAAATCCAAATATTTATAAGTGGCTTCTGTAGTATGGTTTTCTTGTTATGTTGTGTGTTTAGATTCTTACTTCTGTCTATAGAAGAGGATGACTGGAATGATGGACACCATTTCAAGTGAATAATGGTAATTTCTGGCTGGACATAATCACTTTTAATTTTCTACTTAGCTTGAATTTTTATGATGAGTATGTATTACTCTTACAAAATAAGTCATAATTATTAAGTCTATTAAGAGGTTTAGAAATAAAAACAATTTTTTTAAAAAAAAGGGAATTATCTATTTTAAAGAGCAATTTTCAAAGAAGCTCTCACTGGCCTTATGAAATGAGTGACAGCAGATAATAGAGTAGAACCAGAAAACTATATTACGAGGCTCACTCTTCCCTAAATGAAGTTTTTTGTGTTTTTTTTTATGGCTAATAAACTTTTAAAATTTTCTTGCAACAAACTGAACGAGAAATATATTAAAAACAACACATTTATTTAAACCGTTACTTTTCATAATTCATTAAATCGTATCACAGATTAATATCTTCATTCTATTACCTTCAGGGTACATTCATTAGTGTTATATAAAACTTCATATAAAATTAAATAAGAATTAAAAGTGAGAGGATTCACCATCATGCATCCTGGTCTCTGTTACTTTTTCTATTTCATGAGCCTTTCAACCTCAGACTAGTTTTGTTTTAGAGACAATAAAGTGGCTCCTCTGAGCGCTATGGCACTGAACATGCAGCCACTGCCTTACAATTGGTGTTGACCCAGTGGTACCTGTCTACCTGGCAAACAGCCCCAGGCTTATGACCCTTGGGGTTCTTGTGCAGCATGTGATAAGCATTTTTCAGGTGTCCCAGACGGCCATCCACTCTGTTCTTTTTGGGGGGGATTTGGAACCAAGTATGAAAGGGCTGTTTCAAGTTTTCAACCTAGAAAAAAGAAGAAAAAGATAAAACAATGGCATAAAGATATTTTTAAACTAACAAGCTAGCTCTAAGGTTTAAATAAAATTTATAACTCAGAAATTAAATGTTTCAAAAGCATAGGAAGTACAAATGAAGAGAAGTGGATAATCATATTTGGAAAATTGGCTAGCATTTTCGAGGATACAAAGCAAGTCAATTTCATACCTTTAAGTAAAAGTATTTTTTAATTCAAATAAAATTTTTAAAAACACATTTATGCAAATGTCTAGATATTTGTATGTTCTCCCCTATCTCACACCACCTCACTGGTGGAACCCAAACAGTCTAGTCATGATCTCTGGGTGGAGGTCTAGAAATATCAATTTTAAATTAATTTTTTTTTTGATATTTTATTTATTTTTTACAGAGAGGAAGGGAGAGAGATAGAGAGCTAGAAACATCAATGAGAGAGAAACATCGACCAGCTGCCTCTTGCACACCCCCTACCAGGGATGTGCCCACAACCAACGTACATGCCCTTGACCGGAATCGAACCTGGGACCCTTCAGTCCGCAGACTGACGCTCTACCGCTGAGCCAAACCGGTTTCGGCTAGAAATATCAATTTTAAACATATCAAGTGACCAATACAGATATTTTGTAGAATATACTCTGAAAGGATATTGCTCTCTAAATGGAAGCATAAATTTCTAAGCATAAAAATAGAATTAGCTCTCGGGAGGGGGGAAATATCAGCCATCCTGTTGCTGCAAAATAGTATGTGAGTGAGAGAGCTAAAGGAGAGAGCATGGATGTGCATGGAGTGTCTGTATGTGAGGGACAGCTATATTCCATGGGACTGTTGGGTTCTGGTGAACCAGACTTGTCTGGCTGGGCAGCCTCTACTATTGCTGAAATCTCTTCTGAGCAGCTGACACTGCCACAAAGACCATGCCATCTTGAAGGGGAGAGCAGCTGTTATCAAAAGCCCAGCCTTACCTTCAACTGGGGAGACCTCGGATACCTCCTAGGACCCTACAACCACATCAACCATGAACCCGTGAACACCAAGACTCCAGCCTCCCCAGCCGCAGGAGCCTAAAAAGTTTGTCCAGGGGAGACAAAGTGGCACTAAATATGCAGATGGACCCTGCACCTTCTGACAGAGCAGATAGAAGAACAGCTGAATTGAACAACATCTACCTGGAATTGGTGAATTAAACATAGCTGATGGCCCTGGCTGATTTGGCTCAGTGGATAGACGTTGGCCTGCGGACTGAAGGGTCACAAGTTCAATTCTGGTCAGGGGCATGTACCTTGGTTGCGGGCACATCCCAGTGGGAGTGTGAAGGAGGTGGCTGATCAATGTTTCTAACTCTCTATCCCTCTCCCTTCCTTTCTGTAAAAATAAATAAATAAATAAATAAATAAATAAATAAATAAATAAATAAAAATATAGCTGATGAGGCAATCCATAGAAAGAAAGGTTAGATATAGCCTGGAAATAGCTCTGCCTCCTAAGACTCAGCTGGATGTTTATTGTTTGCATTTTTTTGGATTCATTCTTGGTTTTTGGAGTTTTCTCCCTATATACATATATTTTCCCCTTCTTTTTTCTTCTCTTTTCTCTCTTACATTTTTTCTTTTCTCAATATCATTTTTGCATTATTTTTTCTTCCCTAATTCTCTGGTAGTCACCTTTATTTCAGGTTATTGGTATTATGAATACATTTGTGTTTGGTGCCCTGTGTATTGTGTCTTGTCATGCTGTATTTTTTGCCTTTAAGTCAATGCAGAAGAGAGTGTGCTACATAACCAGACACCATGAGAGGAGCCTTTAAGTCAATGCAGAAGAGAGTGAGCTACATAACCAGACACCAGGAGAGGAGTGAACAAAAAACCAGCGTCCATACAAAAAAAAAAAAAAAAAAAAAAAAAAGAGGAGGAATCACTGGAAGAGGAAGTAAATGAAATTGATGCAAGCAATATGACAGAGAAAGAATTCAGAGCAATGGACATAAGGACTCTGAAAAGGATGGAAGACAAAGTCAACAATATATGTAAGAACCAAGAGGAAATGAAGAACCAAAAGATAGATATAGAGACAGTAAAGCAACAAGCAGATTGTCAAATTACAGCAGGGAGGGAAGGAGGATCTGGGGGAGATAATAGATCAACTGAAGGACTTGTATACATGCATATAAGTACAACCAATGGACATAAAATGCTAGGGAGGGAGGGGATGTGTGGGAGGGAGGGAAGGGGGCAAAAAATAAAAAATCAATAAAATATGTAAAACACACACACACACACACACACACACACACACAAAAGAATTTATGTAAAAAACAAAAAAGAACCAAGAAGAAATGAAAAATGACATCTACACAATGGAATACTATGCCACTATAAAATAGAAGGAAGTTTTACCATTTGCAACAGCATAAATGGAACTGGAGAATATTATGCTAAGCAAAATAAGCTAGTCAGAAGATAAATATCACATGATCTCACTCATATGTGGGATATAATGATCAACATAATTTGATGAACAAGAATAGATCCAGAGACAAATGGCAGGGAATGGGGGGCAGGGGTTAGAGAGCAACCAAAGGACTTGTATGCATGCATATTAGTGTAACCAATGGACACAGACACTGGGGCAATGTGGGCTTTCGTGGGGTGGGAATGGCTAGGGGGGAGCAGGGGGACAAGCAGGGAAAAGGGAGACATATCATGTATAAAACTTTAGACAATAATTTAAATAAGAAATCAATTAAAAATAGAATTAAGGGCAAATATTTCACTATATAGTTTTAAACTTTTATACATATAGAACAATGTACAAACTATATATATAGTTTAGAAAACTAAACAAGCTAGAGAAATATTTTTCAGTAAAATGACAAGTTAAAATATTCTTCAATTTTGAAGAGTCTATACTAATACATTCATTTCCTATATACATATATTTAATCTACTTAAATGATAAGTAGATAAAAAAGAGGAACTTCATTAAGACAGTAAATACCTAAAACATTTGGAGACATGGAGATTCTTAATTTTTAACATTTAATAATATCGGTAATAGTATTGTTATCAAAACTATTTTTAAGTGAAAATACTTAATTTTAGGAAAAATGGTAAACATTTTCACTTAAAGCTGGTTAGACTACAAATATAATTTTCTAACAGGTACTTTGGCTGTACATTGAGAATAAGTAAAATGTCCATACACTTTAATGACCCAGCAATCTTATGTCTGAGAATCAAATCTCCAGAAATAATTTAAAATTCAGACATTTCTGTATGAGTTATCAGTTTTTTTTAATATAACAATGTGGAAATAGTTAATCTAGATATTTGCCAATAATAAATTGAGTAAATTACTAGGAAAGCAAATGAATATTAAAAATTTAAGTCTTTAAATTCTTTAACATGTGAATACATAAGTGATTATTTTAAGAAAACATTCAAGTATACACCTACAAAGTGTCAACACAGATCTCCCTAGATCAGTGTTTTTCAAACTGTGGATTAGTGAATCATGAGATCCATTCAGGTGGTTGAAATCAATTTAATTTAATTTAATTTAATTCAAAGTGTTGGGAACATTGTTCCTACTAAAGGTAAGTAGTGTTTCATAAAACGTTCTAACATATAGCGATGCATGTCTTCTATAGGTTGTGGTTAAAAAGAAAAAGAAAGCCCACTAATTTTAATATTTAATTCTGAAGAAATTTAGGTGAAAGGAAATTTATTTCCTAATACTATATGGAAAAATGGGACTGCAAACAATAGTATAGATCCTAATCATTCAGACAAGTAGATGAACTACATATAAAAAACAAAAAATAAAAAATAAAAAAACACTTTGCCAGAATATTAATATTGTGATTTTAAACTTTGTAGTTTTGTTTTTCCATGTTTTATTTTTCCATGTTTTTCAATTATTGTTTCTTTGCTTTTACAATCAGCAAATTCTTTTAAAATCAGAATAAGGCCGAAACCGGTTTGGCTCAATGAGTGTCGGCTTGGGGACTGAAGGGTCCCAGGTTCGATTCTGGTCAAGGGCATGTACCTTGGTTGCGGGAATATCCCCAGTAGGGGGTGTGCAAGAGGCAGCTGATCGATGCCTCTCTCTCATCGATGTTTCTCTCTATCTCTCTCCCTTCCTCTCTGTAAAAAAATCAATAAAATATATATATTTTTTAAATCAGAATAGGCATTAAAGTAGACAGAAGACTTGGAACACACTTTACCTGATAAATACTCTTCGGATTGCTGACTTTAGGAATTAGCCGGGGCTCTTTGTTACAACTTTCTTCATCGGAGGAAGTGCCTGAGGAGTAGTCTAGTGAGGCTTTACTGACAGCATCCAGGACTTTTTGGGAAAGCTCCCATTCCTTCCATCTGCCTTTGAAAGAAGCAACTGTAAATGGGTGATTTTTCTCACCATACCTAAGTAGGAAAAGAAAATAAAGTTATTTATTTGGGATTCAATGTCTCACAGCTTATCTCTAATTTCTTCTGGAGATAACTAACTTACAAAAAGAGTTATTTTGAAAAACAAATCGAAATGACTTGACAGCAAGGCAAGTTGACAGACATTACGACCTTCAGCTACTGCCCTGTTGTAATTGATGGGATGGATAGCATTGTTGTAATTGATAGCATAAGAGCTATCTTGGTTAACTACTCAGAAAAAGACAAAGACTCATTTTTTTTGTTTGAACTGTTGGACTGAATTGTCCATGGTAGATAACTCCTCTTCCCCCTTCATACGGCCTGCAGGATTTAGACATTATAATCTACTATTGGCAAGGATTAAAATCAAATTTCAACTATTAGGCAAAATTATTGTGCTTCCCACTCCTACTCGAAGTATGCGTTGTCTAATCAAGTTTGCAACTAAACCTTAACCAACCATTTCCCTCGCTGTTAGCCCAAGGCTTCGGAGCACCGTCTTTCACAAACATGCACAGAACTCACTAAATAGCCTAAGATTTCCACCTGTCAGAGGGAACACAGACTCTTATTTCCAATGAGATTACTCACCTACAGCAAACTTCAAAGGGATCTATCCATATGGTCATCTCCTTTGGAAGTCCCAGGTGAGAAAATTTCACATTACTTTCAGCACAAGCCCTCTGTAGAATGGGATCTTTATTCTGATTATTGTTTATCCTGATACACCTTAAAAGGCAAGAAAAGGGAAACAAAGGCGTGTCCTCAGGTGCTTTAGCAGGAGAATCACAGAAACTATCAGGCATGGAGGTCACCATTACCAGCCATTTCTAGGCGTTGTGAGAGCAACCACACTCTTTTAATTAGGATTTATAAGAAATACAGTTCTTGGCTTCTGTTGCAATACACAAAGCTCCCACCTCACCCCTGATTTCTCTTGAAGCATCCATCTTATATGAAAACTGCTGTTTGAGATTTTAACCCTGCTAATTGACTTCTGTAAATTCTTGCTTGCTAAGACTACTCCCACTTCAGCTAGGCCATGAAACCTTCCCTAGACAAGGTTATCAGTGCTGGCGCCAGGCTAGGCCTCTGGTTGATGTCTCAAAGCCCAGCACATACGGGCTCTTTAAGAACTTGCAAGAGGGGCCGGAAACACCGCATCTTTGGGAGACAAAGAAGGTAAAATCATATAAATAGGGAGAATTCCTGCATGTTGGGGCCCAGAATTTGAGAGACATTTTCCTCTGGGAAATGACCGGCATGTAATAAATGTAACTCCAGCTTTCTAAGTATTGCTTTGTTCTTCTTCAGTTTTCTGTAACACTCTCACCCGTTCCCCACCTTCTAGTTTACAAATAAGAGTGAAACATCAGCTTTTCTCGCAGCAGCTCAGAATGCGAGTTGCATCACTGTCACACAATTAATTCACCAAGCGTCCACGTGTATCTTTCATCGTAAATACAAGTTAGAAATTGCTTAATCCACCTCACACAAGGGGGTTTGTGCTAGAATATTCAACTGCACCATCACTAAGTATCTTTTTTTCGAGCAAGGCCATCTTCAAACGAATAAATCCGCGTCCACAAAACTGGCATCCCTCATAGACTGCCAACAAAACCAGTGCCGGTGCTTGTTTCTCCCCTTCCCCATTCCACGCTCAAGCGCTCACCTGAAGGCTTGCCCTTTAGAAGGACACTCAGAATGCCAGTGGCTTCTGTATGTTTTAAACAAGATAGTCATCAGCTTTTCTGCGAAGTTTTCTACTTGCTGTTTACTCAGTTTATTATGCTTTTTCACCAGTCTTGTGACAAAGAAAACTGCTGTTGCGATTTCATCTCTCATGATTCCAGGAAAAAAAGTCTATGAGGCCTGCAACCTTTAAAAGGAAGCAAGAATAAATTAAATAGAACCAAGAGCCTCACTTACCAACATGTAATTACTATTTGGAAATTGGATATGCCTTAAATTTTAATTAGAAATTATTTGCTAGTTTTTAATAAATAAGTACATGAGTAGCATCAATCATCAAAACAGGCAAAAAGACCACCTCTTCAACTAGCTAGTTTTTAACAAGTTTCAAAGAAAAAATATATTTTTAAAGCTATGTAATACACTTAAGAAACAAATAAAGCATCATTATGCAACTTAAAAGAAAAAGTCTTTATATTGGGCAGTAATTACACCAAGCCCCACTTTTAAGAAACATATTTCTAAAGAGCAAAAACGTTTTAAAACGTGACTCTCCATTTGCATGCTTTAAATAAAAGTTAATATTAATAAAAAATATTGTACTTGCCAGCGAGAAATCTTCAGCCCCAACAAAAAGTGGGCCAGAGTCAGAAGACCAACTCCGCTTTCAGTTTCCAACTCTCACTCACACTTGTGCTGTTAGTCTCAAGTGGAACTTTATATTAGCCTGGGCCCCAACACCTGGTGGGTGTTTAGCCTTACACAGGTGCTGTCATTTAGGATGCTCAGCTTTTTTCAAGGTCCCCGTGAAATCCCTCCTTGTCTATGTAGATAGGGTTCTTTGCTTAAAGATTTTCAAACTGCATCTGTAACTTCCATTGCACTTTTTAAGTCCCATCTGATAAGTTGAGAATCAAGCCTTCTCCTTCCATATGCTAATATCCTACATTCCAATAATTTCACCTCTCATTATAACTGTCACCATATTAAAGAGTTTTGTCTTGAATCTTTTATAAAACTTACAACTTTCTCTGAACAGTCGTATGTTGACTACAGACATTACTTACTGCAATGTTTATTTGAGAAACAAGTGGAAGAGATTTCAGAGTTTATCAGCCTCACTAGTTCTCAAAGTGTGGGCCCATCTGGTTTAGGTCCACCCTGCTACAGTAAAGCATGAACAGACTGTCAAATTACAGCGGGAAGGCTGGGGAGTGTTGGGGAGAAGGAGTGGGAGAAAGAGATCAACCAAAGGACTTGTATGCATACATATAAGCACGGCCAATAGACACAAGACACTGAGGGGGTGGAGGTTTGGAATGAGGGCATGTGACAGGGGTTGGGGGAGGCTGGGGAAAGGTCAATGAAAAAAAAAAGAAGATATATGTACTAGTATATGTAATACTTTAGACTAGGGGTGTCGAACTCAATCAGAGAAGGGGCCAAAATCTAAAATCCAGCCTAAATCGCGGGCCGAATGATGACAGTGGAGTGCAGTGATGACAGCGCGGTGCGGGCCACATTGCAAGGCCTGGCGGGACGGATTTGGCCCGCGGGCCTTGTGTTTGACACATGTGCAGACAATAAAAAGCATATATATATATATATATATATATATATATATATATAGGCAGAACCTTGGACCTTGGACTGGGTCTACTGAGTCAACACTTCTAAAAACAAGGCCTGGAAATCAGTGCTAGTTAACTATGTAGTTAACTGTTAACTGTTAACAAGTTCTCCCAGGTGGGCCTTATACGTTTAAAATGTCAGAACCACCACACCTGACATATAGGGCTTGAAACACCCCCCATAAGTGCTCATTCCGGTTCTGATCAGCGAAAATGGATTTCACTCTCTGACAAGGAAGCCCATTTCCTTTCCAAACAGCTCCAAACACCAAGCGGTCCTCTCTCCCTGTGAGGAGCCAAATCCTCCTCTTTGCTTCTCTATCTAAGCAGTCTCATTCTTCCCTTTGGAGTGCGTCTCATCCTCCACCATGTGATCACACTTTAAATGCTAGCTATTCAGCCTGTACTGAGTCTCCTCCGAGAGGACTACTACTCTCAGCGTTTTAACAGTTCTTGCAAGAGACATGTTACTCAGCCTTCCCCACTGGGCGCTCCCCACTGGCTGGGTTTGGCTGGGTTTCAGGTGAGTCAGTGATGCTGTAAGAGTGTGGAGCCCAAGCGCACAACGCACTCCTTTTCTTTTTCTTTTTTTTAAAATATATTTTATTGATTTTTTTACAGAGAGGGAGAGAGATAGAAACGTGGATGAGAGAGAAACATCGACCAGCTGCCTCTTGCACACCCCCTACTGGGGACGTGCCCGCAACCAATGTACATGCCCCTGACTGGAATGGAACCTGAGACCTTTCCAGTCAGCAGACCAATGCTCTACCACTGAGCCAAACCGGTTTTGGCACAAGTAGTCTTTTTTGACCAATGCTATTGTTTCATCACATCTTTATCTTCTTGCACAGTGCAATGTTGAAGAATACGGGCTTGGGCTTCAGTGTCAGACCTGGGGGTGAAGTCAGACCTCTGTGTGAACGGCAGCTTTACAACTCGCTATCTGTAACCCTGAGCAACTTGCTAACCTCCTGAACTTTCAGAAGAGGAGGTCTGTGAAACAGCAATCTTCTAGGACAGTGGTTGGCAAACTCATTAGTCAACAGAGCCCAATATCAACAGTACAACGATTGAAATTTCTTTTGAGAGACAAATTTTTTAAACTTAAACTTCTTCTAATGCCACTTCTTCAAAATAGACTCGCCCAGACCATGATATTTTGTGGAAAGCCACACGCAAGGGGCCAAATAGCTGCAGCTCTTATCTCAGTCTGTTTCCAAGAAACTCAATCTGTTACAGTTTGTACCAGGAATGTGTTTTTTTTCTTTTTCTTCTTCTTTTGTGTGTGTGTGTGTGTGTGTGTGTGTGTACCAGGAATGTTAGAAGGAAGCCTGATATGGATGGCTTCTGGCACACTGGAGTGATGTAACTGTTAAAACTCCTTATCTTGGATGCTTAAGATGAATGAAAATGATAATATAAGGAATGTGGAAATGAGTGGCAGAGTCATCTAATAATGACATGATTTAATAAGGCTAGTTCAATTCAGTAAGTACCTAAGTATCTTGGATACCCAGAACGTATAAAAATAAAATCAAGGTGTGACTAGGACCTTTAAGATCTTCTGAATCCACAGCATCTTGTTTATTTCAGCTTTCCGGGATGTATTTCTCCTGACCCTTACTCAATTGCATGGGTTTCCAAATTGCTGCAATTTGGAATCACCTGAATATCTTTTAAAAATACTGATGCCTGCAGGACTCCTACCATCAGATATTCTGATTTAAGTCAGGTAGGAGGGTTTTAAAAGCTCCCCAAGTAATGGGCATCAGGATTTTAAAAGCTCTCCAAGTTATGCTAATGTGCAGTAAAGGTGGAAAATCCTTAAGAGAGATCTCTCCTAGTTGTCCAAGAGACTGCAAATGTATTCTACACTTCTGATTGCTTACTAATGCCTGAAGCTTAACAAAGATTATTATGACAAATATGCATTTCACCTTTTTATTCTTTTCTAGCCTTTGCTGGGATAACTTTTGAAAAGATTGCTTTTTAAATTTATATTGGAAATAACAAAGTTGAAAATCGGGACAATGCTCATATATTGCTGAAAGAAACTTTGCTTCAGAACTAAAGGCAACATATGCATTAGCACATACTCAAATGTTTCCTTTTCAAATGATTAATGTTTATACTTATAATATTAAAATACTGTCAGGTATTTAATAATTCTTTGATTATTTCATCTTCCACGATGGCGTACTGTTCTACTGCACTTTGAGTGAGTGAATCATGTTAACTGATAAGGCTTTGAACCTTCTCCTGGCATAATTTTTTGCAACAGGCCCAGGCAGGCCTTGGAAGTATGAATAGAACTGTAGGATACCTATGTACTTAGATTTCAGGAAAGAACAATCAAAGAGAAACTAAACATCACGCAAGACTTCCTTCAGTTACTTGCTTATGATGATTTTAAACACCTTGTTTAAATCATCTCCTACACATGAATGACAACTATACCTTCACATTATAATTAATATTCACTCTGTGACTATTTAATGACTCTGTAATAGATACTGTAAGTGTTACCCCTCGAAAAATAAAAAGAAAATAGAAATAAACTCAGAAAAATGCTTGTCATAAATAAAGCACTTGTATGGTAACTTTATGAAAAAGAAGTCATGATGTTAGACACTGCTAAGTGCCATGGAGTTGGGAGAAAACCAACTGCCTTTTCAGAGGTTAATAATCTAGAGTAGGGAGTCAAATATGTACACAAGTGCTATTTGGATACAGAGTTTGAGAAATAGGATACCCCAAATTACTCCATGTTTCAAGCATTAGTAACCAAGACAACAATGTCATCATTGAAATAATCAAGTTCAGCCGAAGAGCCAGTATAAATGGAATGATGCTTGGTTCCAGTTGAGGTATACTGAGGTTTTTTTATGACAATGAAACACCCAGATAGTGATGTCCACTGAACAGATACAAGAAGTTAGCAGAAGGTCTTGTCGGGGCCAGCCTCCTACTTAAATGGAATAGAAAATGGCTGCTGACATGTGAAGACTAAAAACAGCTCTTCTGTTGTTTTTGTGTGATGTCTAAAATTCCTGTTATAAGACATTGTCTTTCCAGGATTTCCTTTGGAAAGTGCCAAATGGGTTACCCAACGTAGAACAAGAGGCTCATGCTCTTTCCAGAGACATTGGGAAGAGGAGAGGAATCTGGGGGAGACATCACCGTAAACGGCCATTAGGAATGAGGATGCACAGAACAGGATGAAGGGGACCATCAAAGACATTTTACCTTTTGTAACAGGAAATCAAATGGTATAAAGCATGAAAATGACCCAAATGACCTGGTATGAGTAGCAGTTTTTAGAATTGCATTTCTTCATTTTAACATGAATTGGATTGCTACAGTATCTTCAAGCCCCACAAAGTTCATCAATAAAGGTAAACATTGACATTTGTCTTCTTTATTTTATCTAAACTTCAGCTATAAGATGAAAATGTTTTTGCATACCACAGTTTAAAATAGGCAAGACAATTTAAAGTATCATCTAAATTGAACATTAAA